AACTCGATTTCTTTAGCAATTGCCCTACGTTCCTCTATAATTCAGCCGTCTTACAAGGTTCCGATACCTCTGATCTCTCACTATGCGATCAGGGTATGATCCTCCTTCGGTTTTCTATCGCAAGGTTTCTTACTTCTTGCTCGACCCCTCGGTCAGGACCACACTCGTTTTCGTCCTCTCTCGACGAAATCGCAGCCGCTTCTCCTTTCTTTCACCTCGCCTCCTCTCCAGGGGGTTATTGCTCCTTTTGTCTTCTTGACATTGTTTCACAGAATCGGTGATGTCACCCGAGGGAATAGGGATTAAGGGAGAAAGTTCTAGAACAGATAAGACAAAAGAACAAAGGAGATACTAAGCCTAGCTAAAGTTAACAAAAATATATATAAAACTATGGCCGACGGCCACAACAGTTTCACAAACTTGACACAGATACTATTTTACTAAATATAACATGGGAATACCTTTTCTAATTTTTTGTCCAAATCAAGAGAGGATTCTGTTTGATCCCATTACATATTCTTACAAGTTTCAAATATCTGGAGAGAATTTTTTTTTGCTTTTTATAGTTTTTTTATAAGTGAGATGAAGAAAGCTGAAGCTCCAACTTGAAACACCCATGAAAACTCAAAAAATTTCATATTAAATATCCATTAGATTTTCAAAGCATTCAAAAAAAACTATATTTACAATAAAAAAGATAAGATATATTTTTACAATAATATTAGAGATAATTTCAGACTGTGATATGTGTATGTAAGAAGTATTGTGCCTTTAGAAATAAACAGTTATAAAAAATATATATATATATATACAGGTAGCCCTCGGTTTTATGCCGATTCACAATAACGCCGCTTCGCAGTGTATTTCCCCGATTTTCCGCATGCTAGACTCATTTTCATTTCAGTGTTGACGTATTTACCGAGCCGCAACATTGTACATTCGTTAAAACAAAAATTTTTATTGAATATATTTATTTTTTCTGTTTAATATTATTGGGTATGTATACATTTGCATTAAATTAATATTAAAATACTAAACGTTTAGGTACCCACGAGTCAAGTTATTAAACTTAATAGTCCAATAAATGGCGTCCGAATCCATAGC